GGAACTTTGATTTAAGGGCCATCAGTTCATTCTACACCTGTTATGTAGATAAGACACATATAATTGTAGTGAGTGAGTGAGTGAGTGAGGTTTAGTTTTTACGCCGCACTCAGCAATATTCCAGCTATATATGGCGGCGGTCTGCAAATAATCGAGTCCGACTCCAGACCAGACAATCGCTAGTATTTTACTGTCCTTCGATGACAGGTTTTATCTTCTAAATTTATTGATTTTAATATTGATATAAATTAACTTGTTCTCGTCACGATATGGCTGAAATATTGCCGATGTAACGCTAAATAGTAACTACCTCACTCACTCAGAACAGTCTGATTAATATATACACATTTGAGCAATAAATTATATTCCTGCTTAATATTGATGACAATGGTTGATAATTTGTCAATGGTTACTACTTTCAATATGTTCATATGTGAATTGTTATTAATACACATTATTAGTCTTTTTCTCTCCCAAATTGCAATGGGTAATGACTCAGAGAATCTATTTAATGCATTAGCAAAGTGTAAATAACTCATCTCCTATCAATCTGATATCTGAATATCAGTTGTTTGGAAAACTTACTATTTAACCTAATTATCTTGTACAATTATACCATGAAAATATACGAATAGGTGTTTCTCATTTTTTTTGTTCATTTGGTTTTCATACGATGTCGTCCTATAATATACCTTAAAAACAAAATTGGTGATCTATATTTTTTCTCAACAGTTTTGTTAATTCTTTCCAACCGAAAATACCTGGCGTCAGTTATGCTGCTGAGGGTAACAATATATTTAAAGGAAAATGTTATAATTTGATGTCAACAGGGCACTTATGTCGAATTTTTTACTGTTAAAGGTAATGGAAACTATTTTACCTTTCTATTTTCACTGGGTTTCTGAGAAATGGTATAATATGTTATAAGTCTACAGAGCCTTCCATGCTTGTTGCTGTTTGTTGAGATGTCAGGAAATAAAATTTCCTCTACCATTATGAAACAAGAAATGCCAAGAACAGTTTTCTTTGAATATATAAATGTCACACCTTGAACAATGTTTCGTTCAGGCGTTGAAAGTGTTTAATACTTTGCGAAATAAAATTGAGATCTGAACAAACTAGCCCCAAACAGGACAGCCAAATATCATTATGCAATATATTGCGGATCTCAATTTAGGGAAATAAAACCTACTTGCACCCTGTGCAACCTTTAGGTGATAACCTTGTTGCACCATACAAAAACCCTGCTCAATATAATTACATACTGCCGCCAGTTACCTGGGATATTGCTAAGTGGCACGTTAGAAAACAACCAGCAGATGAGTCAGACTTTCAGGTCAACAGAACATCTGTGAACAGATCATCCAGAATTAGGAACTCTGCGAAAATGACTCCAGCATAGTCACCGACTCTGAGCGTATGGCAGTATCTGTATAACAGGAGTCACTTTAAATAAGAAACGTTTGTTCGGATTCTTCAGGGGGCAGTCTGAAGTAGATAACGTGAATTCTTTTGTGCTTCAGCAGGACGGTGCACGACTCTTTTCGTCGAAAGCTTTAACAAAAACAGTGGTTGACAAAAAATACGAGATAATGATATATTCTACGGTTAGGATAAAAATTGTTTAACAAACGATCATAGATTGAAATCGCTATTACTGGTTTGTATTACAATGGGGTAAGCGCAGTAGTTGGAACAGTGAAACAAATGCAGGTGCGGTACGTGAAGAGCGTTAACTTAGAACAACCCTTGTCGTTCTTGGTGTTTCATTTGATGTGCATACCCCTTGTAATACAAAACCAATAATAGCGATTGTGAAATTATGATCGTTTGTTAAACAACTTTTATCCTAAGTTGAATAAAATTCTGAAATTTCAATGTTCACTTGGCAAGGTAAAATTACGAGGATTCGCAGTCTTAATTTCACTTTATATGTTTTACTTTTGGTTTTAATTGAAATTCATCGGTACGTTTTCGTTGCAAACAGACTATAGTCTGAATAACATAGGACATGTTAAAGATCGCCACTAGAAATGTAACTATCATGATAATCATAAACATATGGCTGTAAAAACAAATTGTAACGTCGCCAGTTCACAGTTAATTCATAAAAGTTAAATATTTCTTTTTAATTCTGTAATTCCTTTATTAGTATGAAGATCTGTTTGCCAACGAATTCTTGTCCGGTGCTATACATGAAGGTGTAGTTAGCTGGAATCGCTGGAACGCCTGTAAGACCATATAAGGAGTCTTGAAATAGCTGTGTATTACTAGGACCTGATGTATGTTTTTGCTCTAAACAACTGAAATTGGGTACTGACCATTCGTCATGATCTTTTGGTCTTGGTTAGAGTGAGTGAGTGAGTTTAGTTTACGCCGTTTTTAGCAATATTCCAGCAATACACGGGGGCACCAGAAATGGGATTCGTACATTGTACCATGTGAGGAATAGGAGCCGGGTCTTCATCGTGACGAGCGAACGCTTTAACCACTAGGCTACCCTGCCGCCCCTTTGGTCTTATTTGGGGAATGGCAAGGGTCACTGCAGTGTTAAATAAGTGTATCAGCTGTTGGGTTAGTGTACATCCTACACTACAGTGTGTATACTAACACCACCCCCACCCCAAATAGATATCATGAATTATTTGAGTGGGCTTTTTGTTGTGAAGACACTACAAATTTGATCAAATATCCCTTAAATATTCTTCTGTATATTGCTAATCTTGGTTTCAAGCGTTAGGCCTCCTTTAAGTCATCAGGTTAAGGGTTTGGGTTCCCTAGCACTGCAATACCAGTGACTGCACACGCTGAATCTGACGTCAAATTCGTAATGACGTTACAGATATGGTTAAGTGAGTGAGTGAGTTTTTACGCCGCTTTAAGCAATATTCCAGCAATATCACGGTGGTCGACACCTAAAATGGGCTTCACATATTGTACCCATGTGGAGACTCGAACCCTTTTCTTCGGCGTGACGTGCGAATGGTTTAACCACTAGACTACCCCATCGGCCCAGTAGGTTACTTAATGTAGTTTTAAACTTGACCAGTGTACCTGCTGGTGGGAATTAGCACAAATAAAGAAAGTGGAATGTAACTGACTTGAATCAAATTTGCCGGGGCTGCCAAGTTTTCAGAGCAAAGTCAACCTTTTAAGACGAGAGGTTTGTTGTGCAAGGGAATGAGGAAGTCAATGAGGTTTTGAACTGCGTGAAATGTTAATATATGAAGATATATAACACAGAGTATATATTGTTAATAGTTTATTATGCTTAAAAAGCATAGGTACAATAAAATTACCGGCAGATGCCTTACGTGATATCGACAGGGTGCAAAGAACACGCAGGCAGAGCCATCTCTGACGGCCGTACGAAATGGGATGTATCTACAAACAGCTCACATGGGTTAGTAAAGTGCACTATCACCATATTCACACTTACAGCACGCATCACTTGAGTGTTTTGAACATATATGAATTCACAATGCATTATAGACTCAATTTTCAAAATTGTCCAATTCCCCAAATGCAATGAATTTATAATTAAATTTGATTGCAATACGTGCTGTCTTTGCATTGCCTCTACATAAACTATCAATGCATATTTCAACAGGTGCACCTATTAAAAGCTTCAGGCAACATAGGCGCTAAAAAGAAAAATACAAAATCGGTAAACTTTGAAAATACGAATGTAAATCCTGCATTTTAGTTTCGGACAATGGATACCTTTCGCCGCCATTAGCTGCTCTGAGTTTAATTGCATGTCTGCGCTCAACAGATCAAACCTGGGCACAACATAGGTATTAACACTTCAAGTTAACGGTTAACAAGCCAATGAATGCAACTTGTAAACAACGTGCCGATTATGACATCATTCGAATAACAACCAAGAAATGACTTGTAACACATACATTGGGTTTAGGGAAAAGATTCGACTACCAAATTTGGAGTAAAGTTTTCAGATGTTCAGTGAAACGTTCAGATATATATATATTCATGAAGACACACGTATTATGCAACTGCGGGAAAGATCGTTGAAGAAAGGTTTAAGAAGAAATGACATCACTTTCTCTGAGGCAATGTCCAAGTGAGCAAACCACCATTTTTATAAGCGTCCCTTTACCCAAGTCTCGGGGCTGTTTGTTACCCTAGGCGAAACTGCCATTGCAAGGGAGAGAGATTATATGCGAGGGCATCTCCAATTTAGCAAATCTCCACATGAACGACCCTAGTGATGAGGGATGAAGAAGTGTCCCGCTGCTTCTTGAAGGTAATCAGTTGTGGTAACAATTCCGTATAATTGTTTCCTGGAGGAGTTTCTTGGTACTTTCACTATGGCGCTTCCCAAACACTGATCACAAAGAAGGTTTTGTTGTCAATTGTGCCTCAGTGAACTCATAGTGAGGTTGATGTCACGCTGTACCTTAAATATTTCTATTAAAAATTGTAATTGTCTATCAATGAAGACAGCAATCGTAATGGCAACACCAAGAACGTGTTTGTGATGTATTTGTCTGAATCAGAGTGACCTCCCCTATATCTATTCTACATGATATGCTGCCTAAACACGACTGTATTTCTCTTTAAATGCATAAGGCTAGATGAAAACAGTATCATATAAAGGTAAATATTATGAAAAATAGTTTGCAAAAGTATATAAGATGTGTTCTTTGAAAATCTTTAATATATTACAGACAGATCTGATACACCAAGATAGGCCTGAGATACAATGAAAGCAGAGTTATCTACCCTTTTTAAACAAAGAATTTGAATCCATTGATGTACAAGGGTACATTGTGTGAATAGTCAGTTTCACAACCAGAATGTAACCATCCAATTGATACGGTAGCACCACATAAAGTATTGAACTGAAAGACGTAAACACAAGCGCTGTTAGATTATTTTCATACGCTTTTCTAAACTTCAAAAAAACCAAAAAAATTAAACTAATCAACATAAAAATTGTTCAAGAGAGTATTGTCATAAAAATCTTTAGCTATATTCTAAGTCAATATAAACAGCGGATAGGTGGCTTGGGCTGTCGACGCCCACAGATTTAACCGGTGCGCCTTCTGGTGGCGTGACATGGCAGTGCTTGGGGACGCGTTCTGGATGTGGCAGGCCTTCTCCTACAAGAAATGCATTGGAGAGAATTTCAAAGGGCGGAATGAACATAAGTTTCGACATTGACTAAGGGGTAACGAGGAAATAGCAAAAAGGTTCCCATTGTGGTTGATAATGTCCCTATATATATGTGTATGATATAGAGTTAATATAATTTACAAAACACCGTTGTGTCGAACTTTGATGTGTCGAACCTACGGTTGTGTCGAAGTGAAAAGCAATTCCTCATTTAGACTTTTAGTGGGTGTGTCAAACTTCGGATAACTCGAAGTATTTGCGATGTGTCCTTCACCTTTCAAGCAAAGATGCTTTACTGAACGTGTAAGCAGCGTCAATGAGTTATCTCATTACCAAATTATCGTATGTCGTTCATACTGTCAACCACTCGTTTACGTACCTCGTTCTTGTTATTGAGGAGGGTGGTGGTGATGTTGGAGCCGGTTCCCCAGGAGTCGGCGTCGCGGAACACCAGGTCGTTCAAGCCGGCACTCGCCGAGGATCCTTTGGCCCAAATCTGAAAAAACCCGTAGCACTGTTAAATATATACTGGTTATATAACATGTTGTTGACATGGTAACAACGTAAATAGGTGCAATTAGGTCATAAATGTTCGGTCATGAATAGATCGCTCTCTTTTAATACTCATTAAAATAGAAGGTAAATTCATTGCACAGTATAAATCTCAGTAAAACTAATGTTTCTCTATGAACGTACAATATTTGTGATTCTTTTGAGGAAAGCAGCTATATTGGTAATAATAACAACAAAAAAGCAGGATAAGGTATCCAAAAATAATATGGATTACCAGGCAGTGTAAAGCTACGGATAAGAAAAAATCTTCATTCCCGGCACGTCACGCTGACAAATAGGGCTTGTAAGTCTCCTCGCGAGGCGGTACTTCCGGTACTAAGCTGGTTGCCGGCTCCTTTACGCGCGCCAACTTACGACATTCGAGACTGGGCCCAGCTTACTTTCGGTACCAGATTTCCGGTGTCAATCGTATATTCAAGAACCAGTTTTGATTCCAAATTGCGCGACAACCAAATATGATTTTACTTAGAACGGACCAAGTCCTTGGTTGTCACAGCTGTTGACAGTCGTAATGGTTGGCTAATTCGGGGGATGGTTAGATCGGACAATTGTTAATCCTGTAAGGATTATCAGTTCCTTTAAAATTAAAACTGATAACCATGAGACCACTCGAGAAGGAATCAAACGTTTGTCACCGGAAGTACTAATGTCTCGCGAAGTGCCGTGACCTACATACGGGCCCTATTCCATATGGTTACAGAGAGCAGAAAGAGGACCTTTATTAACCACATAGTGGACGTTGCCAACAGCAACAGACGTTACCAACGCGTCCCTTACCTTGACCTGTTTCCCGGCCTTCAGTGAATAGTTTCTGAAGGTGTATGACAGTTTTCTCTTGGAGTCCAAGTCCCTCTCAAGTCTGTAGCTGTCGAGATCGACATCCTGAAAAAAAACCCAAAACATTTTGGTATTTTGCTTCATAAAAATGCATCCAAAGGTATTCATGGTCCCAAACATTTCTGTTTTGACAGTTAAAGGTAACCCATATTACAAATGGGCTAGGATGCTTAATTACTGGCGACATCAGAATATCATATACCCTTTATTTCCACAATGCATTTTTATGAATATGTGCAACAAGTCTTGGCATATCTTCTGTATTAGTACTTTTTTTAAATGAAACATTGATATGTACTCAAAATCTCTTTATACGTCCTTTTTTGCATTGGTAAAATCTGGTATGAAACATTCACTTCTTTTTCAAATGTATCGACTCCAAAATCATAACATCTGAAATGATAGTAAATTTATAGGAGACAGTTAGTTGGAACACAGAAAGTTTGTATTTACCCTGCGTGATGTTCCTGACGATGTGTTCTCGAGGACGATGAACTTGCCCTCAGGGTCGACGGAGGCGACTACGACGGGTCCAGAGGAGGTGCGCTGATACGTCGTCTTGGCCGACACTTCACCTCGCATCATCTTCATCGACACTTGGGATGCATGTCCTGGTAACGAAAACGTCTACAATGTAGTGAGATGGTCAATGTTCACCAAACAAATTCCAATAGAAAACAAATCATCTTATAATATAACCTTTTTATCATTAATGTACATGCAACAAAAAAATTGCTTTATGTTATCATATATGATTACAATTCATTTAATATATTCTTCATACTTGTTTACTTTAAGACATAGCCTTTATGTTGTAGGTTACAGAATAATTAATTGACAAAACAATTATGAATAAATGGTTAGGTCAATGCAATACTTACCAAAGTATATCTATAACTATCCTTGTTAAAATGCGAGATTGTAAATATAGTTGCCGTGATTAATATTTAACATTAATAAATAGTTAATAAAACCCATACAACTGTTTCCGTAATAAACAAGAGGAAGGTATATATCAATAGATTCACTGTAAGGGTTAGGTGTAGGTAGCAGGTTTGGGATGATTTGGGGAGAAAGTTGGAAAATGTGTTGAAGATTTTGACAATTTCTCCCACCTTTTAATGCGCTAAGAGTCACAGTCTGATTTTTGAATAGAGCTTTAAAGGACCAGACTACTCTTGGAAATGAAATACCTTCCAAGATATGGTCATTGTGTTATACATGTGTTAAATTCTCTAACGTGATGCATATTCAAGAGCATGCGTTACCAACATGATACTTTTAACAAAGTGTACTTGCGAACAATGAAGATATGATATGCTACCTTGATGCAATGTATGACACTTCATTCTCACCCAGACGAATGCCACCTTACCAGCAAATGACAAATTTAACTAGGACGTGTTTCTTTTATACAGCAGAGCTCTGTATCACTTAAAAGAAGGAAAAGAACCTACTGATACTGAGTCTAGAACCCATACACAGTCGAGACATCGAGAGTTCGAGATATTGAGAGTTCGAGATATCGAGAATTCGAGTTGACGAGATGTCACTACAGCAGCCATAGCGTATATACTAAGACAGCTTGTGGTCTGTTAGGACGACCTTTAACACTAGGTGCACTAAAGGTGCTGTCAGGCCTCGATTTGGGAATTAGCTATAGGGAGCAAGCCTTGAAACCTTGAAACAAGAAAGGAGCCAGAGCTATGAGATCCAGGGTTTATTCAAGCAAGTGTGTTTGCATGACATTCAAAATACATCAATTCATACATAATAATGACATACAATAATAGAAATAGTAATCAATGATATCCTAATACAGTTTATATCTAAGTCCGGTAATATAAGCAATGTGTGGTACAACAGGGTATGTACGGTAACTGCTTACAGAAACATAATACAAATAATACAACATTTTCTTGAGTAACTACGGTACTGATAAATAACATAACCTGACGGATAAATTAATCATCAACAACAATTGCAAAGAACAAATACTGAGTGGAGCGCCCAACAGTTTACTTACAGCATGTAGTGCCTAGTTCATTGTGCGGATTTGTGACTATTACGTTATGTCGCGCCTAATGCGTTAACTACGGTAGCGATTTATTACGGTATGTAGTGCCTATTGCGTTAACTACGGTAGGAATTTATGACTATTAGGGTATGTTGCGCTTAGTGTATTGACTACGGTAGGAATTTACTATTATTACGGTATGTCGCGCTTAATGCATTAGCTACGGTAACGATTTATGACTTGTGTAAGTAATTTCCGTTATCAACAAACATGCCTTGAGCAAATACGGTAAACGGCGCGAAGTGCTCAGAATTGACATATACCATTTAACTCCGGTATTGACTGTACGCATTCTAACTGTAATGTTAACATTTATTTTCTCAATACAATAATTTCGGTAGATACGGTAAGTGGAACTAGAGAGTGATATAAATATGTGTAACTACGGGGACAGACGATATAGTTTTAGCTAGAGTACTACTACTTTGTCCCATCCTGAATTATTTGGGTGACTACGGTAAATGTATTTCGACGGTGATGTTGCTATTGGCAACGTGTAATTTCGACATATACGGAGTTAAGCCATGACCTAGAATATATGTAATGCTGTAGTGCTACATTTTTGTGCTTTACAAAACAAGACAGTAACTTAGTTAAATGAATATGTACTAGGACGGCGCTGTTGTCATTGGCTACGCGTATTTTTAAATTACGGAGCTAAATAAATACGGAACGAAGACTGTAATTGGAAAATACACGGATTTGAATGTATATTTTCTGGTAATATGAAGAGTAGACAATACCATTTTCTACTGATTACGGTAATGTGATTCGCGTATAAACTGTTTTGTACGGTATACAACTGCACGCGGAACGGAACGTTTAATATATCATTATTCAAATTATTATAGTGTTGGTGAAATGTCAAAATACAAATGTTGGCTGTTATACCTATCATGTGCGCGTATCTGAGGTAAATCTACACGAATATCATTTGATCGGCGGACTATAGTAAAATACATAAACTTCGTCTTTGCTGGAATTGATTGTATAAACTCGGAACTGTTTTTTGTGACTAAGCTACTAGAATCTAGACTACTGAACGAGAATCTAACCTGCATAAACAGAACTAACACACGCAAATGAATAAAACAAGACAAAGACTGGGAATACACATGTGTGTCAAAACATAGAAAATAACTATTCGTTTGTACATGAAAACATAAACTTGAGGAGCCCACGACGCAATGTGCATAAATAAATATCCCTGGATAGCCTGATAATTAATCGGTTATCTAGAACTAGCATTTGCAATGACAAAGTGCTTCAATGTTGTAGGAATGTTTCTAACCTAACTCTAACATTTTCTAGTCGATAATTGCAAAGAAATAACAAGTTAAACAAGACTAAAGTTTAAATGTTTCTTACCTTGAAACAAGAAAGGAGCCAGAGCTATGAGATCCAGGGTTTATTCAAGCAAGTGTGCCTGAGATGGAAGAACCCAGGATTTTATACCCCACAGCTCTGCTCGTTTGTCATTATCAAGTTTCTATAAAGTTGAAGTTTCCATATGCGTTATCTACCCTATGCTGACAAAGTATACTACACGAGGTGGGTGGTAAGAAGATGATTACCCTAACAAGGTTTGATTTTTCTTTGTGGTGTAGCCACGGTCAGCTTGCGCCAGCTGCTTAACAAAATATCTGTCAGCGCCTGACCATGGCATTTACGACAGGACAAAGAGGATGGCATGATGGTAATCTCGATCTTGTTCAACAAAGGTTGATTTTCGATTACGACTTAGTTGGTGGTAGATATGCTCCTGCTGGGATGAGACTATTTATCTGTGCTTGACCAAGGGATGTACCCGAGAAGAAAGGCCGGGCCGACACAGCTCGCTAGCTTCATCTTTGATTAATTAGTTTAAGGTTGGCGTGGACGCGTTTGCTAATTTGCCTACTACTGCGCTTGATACGCGGGGCTATAAACAAGACACACTATGCACTGCAACTTGACGTATACGAATTTTCTTTGTTATGAATAATTTGTGAAAATATAAAATGTATGAAGAAATATATGCACTGTAACAATACTATTAAAGAAGTTAACACCTTTTTCCATTTGACTAAAAGTTAACCTGTCATGCTATCACAGAATAACGGGACCCGGTGTTTTACATGGAATGACAGATTAACTATAATCATATGAAACAAATCAGGTTCCTTATCTTCTTTTGGGTAGTATAATCGAGGATGTCATTTGTTTGTATGGCGTCCATGTTCGTTCATCGTATCGATAAATCGATAAATCGCTGTCAGAAACGGTGTTTCTAAGAGCGTCTCATCGTCATCCCTCTGTGAAATAACAACATGTTAGATGTGTTAGTTTATTTGAATCGCTGCTTACAGAAGCTCCCTAGATCGCAGCAATCTACGGGGTTATTGCCATGGAAACCATATCGACAACAAGGGAGTTAACTCAGACGTTACAGGCGAAGTTGTATTTATAATGATGTTATCACCGGATCTACGAAATCTAAAGGGAAGAGAAGAAGAAGTAGAAGAAGATGATACAGCGATCGAATGGCAGTGTATGAGAAAAATTATGCCATTGGTTTTCAGTAATCACTAACCATACGTGCGACACATGTCCGAGGAATAATGTGATATTCTTAATCGTAATGTGCCTAAAAGGCGATGTAAAATAAACAAAATCAAAAACAGGTGATGAGGGAGGGTATAGTGATGCAAAATGTAAAGATTTTCCTTGAGTATTATAAGAATAATGGTACATCACAGATGAGTTATGCATATGAGCTCAATAGAGCTTATCACAACTTGAAGCATATAACAATAAACACATCGACTAGCTATAACATATGATCAGCTATCATACACCACGATAAATACTACTAACGTCTTTCATTACGCGAGAAGGTGGCAAAGAGGTACACACTCCACTAGGGCTTCTGAGATCATGAAACTGACAGGGAAAAATTGGCACATTAGAAAAAAATGCTGGCGTCATTAGAAGCAAAAGCAAAGTCTCTAGGAACTTCTACTTGGTGGATAAATTGGAAGCAAGATATCAAGAAATGCCCATGCACAGTTATCTATCCCACAATCCTTAGATTAGACATGCGTAAAGGACGTTTCCGTTTGTTAGTTGCGCATAAGCCCATGTTAATCTTGTTAGTACTGTGGGCACAGCGTCACACTGGGACACGACTCGTGGTTTGGTTTTACGACGACACGGTCTGCTCACTACCAGATTTCTCTTCCTCCATTTTGGTTTTAACCTCTTCCTCCTTCCCTGATTGGCCTGCTGACTGGCTCGACATAGAACTAGATGATACTCTGGTTTTCCATGAGGATGAGCTCATATAGGATGATGGCCTTCATGAGAGAGAGTGCATGAAAACAAAATAAATATTGAGCAAAGAGTAGAGAACGAATCAGTGAAGACACCAATATGCCACAAGTCACAACATAGTCAGCAGAACTCATCGGTGTGGGACTGAAGCTACCACCCTCACACCCTATTTATTTCTTGTCGCCGGGAGATTTGTCACCACCATCTTCTCCCGGCTGACTCTCGTTTGGGGCAGCATTGGCCTCCTCAACTCTATCCTCAACAGGTTTAGGATCAGGCAAGCCTTGAGGCTCCTCTAGGCGTTCCCTCTCCTCTGGAGTCGGCGAGCGTGCGCGTCG